TAAAACTGTTGTGCCTTGGCAGAGGATATAGTATCCCAGAATAATTTCAGCTCTTTGTCCGCAGCGCAGAAAGTTGTGGCATTATCAGTTTACAGCAAGGATGTCAAACTCGCGGCCCGCGGGCCGCATGCGGCCCACAACAAATATTTTTGCGGCCCAGCCAATATATCGACAAATAATAATATATAATAATAAAATACATATCGACGAAGAAAAAATGAAATGTTTACTGCTAAGTAATTAACGATAATTTATTCAGTGTTGTTAGATTACTCACAGCGAGCTGACACACACACTACTTAAATTACAACTGCGTGTGAGTAGCTTGCGTTCAGCTACCTTCGGCTTTTGGGGGACACGTGCACTCAGAACTTGTATGCATCCCCCGATAGCCGAATGTGGCCGAACTCATGGTCTCAGTTTTCCAATCATAGTTTTGTACGATATATTGGTGCATGCATGTGCATGCATGCACTTTGCTTTATTATTAATTATTACTTAATTCATATTGTTACGGATTTCATAGTTATTTATTTAGTTAGTTTTTTATTTAAAGTTGTAATTAGATTTGCTACATGTTGCCTTAGCGACGCAGACGATTTTTGAAAAGACAGCTGCGTTGGAAGGTTAGAAATAGAACAGCGCGTGCATTTAATACCTAATAAATAAATATCTCGTAATTGTTGTTGCCATCCACAAAAATCCAGATATTTATAGATGTTTCCAGTATATTCGAGAAATTAATTATAAAGCTTATAAAAGCCGAGAACAAACAACTCATCTCAGTAGTAGCTATAGTTCTAGCGAACTGTTTGTTTACTTAATGCTGTGTGATTGATTTGTAGCGATTTCGCTGTGAGATAGAATTAGTTTCTCTGTTTTGAATTGATTTTTGCTAAACGTTTGACATTTTTGTGATATTGTTAGAATATTTTTGAAGAAATATTTCAGCATTTTGATTTATCTCTTGTGGAAAGAATAAATTTTTGTTAACTTTTTAACGTTAACCGTGTTTATTCCAGCCCTTTGTATTCAGTATGTCTATATCAAAACCAAGGGGTAGTAAAACTAAACGAAAAATCGCTGACGAACATAGAATATTCCAAGTAAAATGGGAATTAGAATATTTTTGCTGTGAAATAAAAGATAAAATAATCTGCTTGATATGTAATAATGCTATTAATGTACCAAAGTTATATAATATTAAACGTCATTACGAACAACACAAATCGAAATATAACAATTACGAAGGATTAATGAGAGAAGAAAAGTTGAAAGAGCTCAAGTTAGGAGTGAAAAAGCGACAGTCCATGTTTAGTAAAGTATTGCAAGAAAGTGGAGCGGCGGTACATGCAAGCTACGTCTTGTCCGAGTTGATAGCTAAACATTCGAAGCCTTTTACTGACGGTGATTTCATCAAGGAATGCCTAATGAAAGCTGGAGAAATTGTTTGTCCTGGAAATGTGAAAGCTTTTCAATCAATTTCATTGTCTCAAAATACAGTTGCGGAAAGAGTTACTGATTTAGCCGCGAATTTAAGTGATCAGATCAAAGCAAAATCATCTAGTTTCGAAAGTTTCTCCATTGCCTGTGACGAGAGCACGGACATTAGTGGCAAAGCTCAATTAGCAGTGTTTCTTTGTTCTTGTGACAAGAATTTTAACATTTTTGAGGAATTACTGGAACTAATACCGATGCCTGGTACTACCACAGGAGAAGATATATTTACTTGTGTTTTTGGACTTCTGCAGAAATACAATCTACCTTTGGCAAAATTAAATTCTGTAGCTACAGATGGCGCTCCATCAATGACCGGGAAAAACAAGGGCTTCGTAGCATTACTAAGAAAAAAACTTAGTGAAATTCATGGTTCAAACATTCATCATATGCATTGTATTATACATCAAGAAGTTCTATTCACGAAAGTAATAAATATGGAGAATGTTTTGTCATATATAAAAAAAAGTTATAAATTTTATAAGATCTCGAGGTTTAAATCAGCGTCAATTCACTGCTTTCTTAAGTGAGTTAGATAGTGAATATTCGGGTTTGTCCTACTATACCGAGGTACGTTGGTTATCTTGCTCCAAGATTCTCAAACAATTCTGGGATTTGAAAGAAGAAATATGTCAGTTTTTAAAAACGAAAAATCAAGACGTAAGTTTGTTTTACGATCCAATATGGATACAAGATTTATCTTTCCTGTTTGATATAACCAAACACTTATCGTTACAAGGAAAAGATCATATTATTACGAACATGTTTGACATAATTAAAGCATTCAAATGTCAACTAGTTCTTTTAAAACAACTTAAAAATGAAGATTTGACGCACTTCCCGACGTGCAGCATGAATAAATCAAGTTTAGATGATACTTGTTCGTATCAAAAATACGCAGAAAAAATTGCAAATTTAACAACTGAATTTGAAACGAGGTTTAATGATTTTAGTTCCCTCGAAGACAATTTTTTTTTGTTTTCTTCGATTTTCTCAATAAGTATTGACTCAGTACCCAGCCATATGCAAACGGAGAGGATCGAGATTCAATGCAACTCAAATTTGAAAGCAAAATTCATTGAAGTGGGCGTGCCTGAATTTTACAAATATTTACCAGCCAGGTTTGAAAATACTCGAAAATTCGAATATGAAATTATTTCCATGTTTGGTAGCACTTATCGGTGCGAGCAGTTATTTTCAGTCATGAAAGGTAATAAGTCTCCTATTAGAAACCGTATTAATGATGCTCACCTTGGGTCAGAGTTGAAAGTTATCACTGCAAAAAAAATTTCTCCCGAAATAGGAAAGATAATAGCAGAGAAGAGATGTCAAGTATCAGGACGTAAACATTAAATTTTCTTGTTCTTTTCTATATTATTATATATATATATATTATATATGTTTATTATTGTATTATTCGAAATAAATCTACGTTTCTATGAATATTTTTTTTCGGCCCGCCTAAAGTTAAACCTTGTTTGTTTAGCCCAAGTGTACCTATGAGTTTGACATCCCTGGTGTACACTGTATGAGGAAGTTCACGTGGAGAGACAAAACGTTGTAATGGAAGTAGGAAGACGTCAGTACGCATATCGGAAGCTAATTCTAAGTGAGTAGAGTTGCTCGAGTTGTAGCACATGTTAAGATGACAATGTAAGCTTTTGTAACGGAGTTATTATTTTTTACTTAGAGTGGTCCAGCAAAATCAATTCCGGTAACTTCGAAAGGAGATGACTTTTGAATTCGCTCAGCTAGTAATGGAGCTTCTATCTGTTCACTTCTCTTTTGTTTCAGTACTTTACATGGAAGGCAAGTCTTTATCACCTTTTTAATGGCTTGCCTTGCTCTTAATATCTAATATGAACGAAGCTGAGAAGTACAATCTGAACACCGAGATGATGCATTCGTAAATGTGTTTGGCGTATCAGTAGGCTTGTAAAATTATGAGAACCTTCCAATAATAAGGGATGTTTTCCAGCATGAGATAAATCAGAAAATTGTAGTCGACCACCAAGAAGTATAACACTGTTCTTGAAAAAAGGGTTAAATTGTTTTATCCGTTATTTCTTAGTGATTTTCCTGTCAATAGAGCTTCATATTCTGAAGAAAGGATTCTTTCTGAACGGCCTGTATCCAATAAATACGAGCTTGATTCAGTTCTGTGGCATGTAACTCACCCACTAACTTTTCTTGTTTCCTACAGTTGTGAATAAAGCGAAGAATCCAAGATGTTACACTTTATTGAAAGTAAGTAATGTAACAATTGAAAGTAAGAACTGTAGTTTCTAGCCTTTATGATTGGTTGAGTAGATACGATGTGAAGGGTCCGTTCTTTCTATGCTTCTAAGTTATGACTGTAACCTTTAGAAATAGTATCAGAAAGAGGCCAATATTCTGGAGATTTGACTAACCATGGAGGGCCGTTCCACCAAGTTTCCAGGTTTTTTTGTGTTGATGGTGAAACACCTCGAGAAAGTTTGTCAGCTGGATTGTTTTTGCCAGGGCAATGCCTCCATTGTGAAGGATTAAGTATAGGAATTAATTTCTGTTACTCTGTTGCTAACAAAAGTTTTCCATTTGTTGGGGTCACTTCGTATCCACCCTAAGACAACTTGAGAATCACTTCACAATGTTGCATTTTACGAACAGATGTTTGTTTCAGCACAGAAATATTGCAACAATCGTGCTCCCATCAGGGCCGCCAGGAGCTCTAAATGAGATAAGGTAATTTTCTTCATAGGAGCTAGTTTGTTGCGACTACACACTAAATTCACATTCGATTGGTCACCTTTAAAGGTAACAATGTACAGAACTGAAGCATAGGCACGTTCAGATGCGTCACAAAACACATGAATACCAAAAGGAACATGTGATGAAATGTCTATGCATGAGGAGTTTGAAGGGAGAAAATGTCATTAAGTTCTTTTACAGCAGCATACCATAAAGTTGATATAATGAGCAGGGTAGTAATTCATCCCACTTGATTACCATGAATCCATGTATCTTGGAATAAGATTTTCCAAAGGATAGTAAACGGTGAAAAAAGGCCTAAGGGATCATAAAAACTAGCAATGCAGCGGAGTAAGAACCATCTCTTTGTAAGTGGTTTGTCTGTAGAAACACAGAGGGAAGTCTTGAATACATGCTTCAAAGTATCAGAATTTGTATTCCAGCCAATACCTAAGACAGTTGTTTCCGTTTTGTGAGATTATTCATGTGTTTGTATTACATCTTTGAGTTTCAAAGAATTTGTAGCTCATTTTTCCATAGGCAATTGCATTAGAGCCATTAAATTCTTGATCTCGTGATATAGCATTATAATGCGTGATTCAGTTTCCATGCTAGCAAGAAAGCAATTGGAAATTCTGTGATATGTTTTGTAGCCAATTCTCGTGTGGCAGCACACAGTAAAAACAGACTGCAAGTAAGGCCAAATGGTAAACGAGTAAATCTGTAAACAGTTATTTCATCTGTAAAAGTAGTAGGTTGAGATGAATCAGATTTTAATTTGTACCACATGTGACGTCCCTATCTTCTGTATGTAGTGACAACTGTAAGAAAGCTTGTTTACCATCACATGTAACAGTGAATTCATGCAATCGAAATCTTAGTAGACAACCGATAGTTTCAGAAAGAAGATTCGGGCCAGCTTCCAAGGTATCGTTCAGTGAAGGCATTCTTGGAGCATGCGAGGAAGCGTCAAACACAAATTTCCTCTTGGTTTTAGATTGCGTTTTCTTTCTTACAGCAAGATGAGGAAGGTAATATACTGGCTTCTCATTGGATTCATCTATGGAACAAATTTCAACATGGTTTTGTTCAATGTAATTCAGCATGCATTTGTCATATTGTGTCTTTAACACATCACTAGATGCAAGTATTTTTTGAAGAGAATGAAATCTGTTTTCTGCTATAATTTTGTTTATAGGCAAAAGTGTGACCAATGGTTTTCTAGGCAGAGACACAATTCTTTGATTGTCTTCAGTGTTGTAAGTTTTGTGAAATTCTGATAAAATGTCTTCATCGCGAGTAGTCATTCTTCGTTTCTGCGCATCTTGTATCTCTATGGAGTCTAATTCCCAGAAGCAACGTACCTGATCATTTAAACAATCAGTTTTAACTTGCACACAAACTTGACGGACAGAAGTCTTCTCAGCGATTGTAGTATGTGCTCTTGTTCCACTCCAAACGTCAGCTCCAAACACTGACGGTACCATAACAAAAGATTCTGAAAGCTGGATTGGAGCTTCTGCGGAAACAATTTGTCAGTAATGATCACCACCAACAAGTATTTCTATGCCATGTGGATCAGCAATACGAAGTGATGCTAACTGCGAGCAGTTTGAAAATGTGTGAAAATGTTTTTTAGGAAAGGTTATGCTGTTTACCAGCTAGTTATTGTATCCGCAATTGATTGTTTTCAACAGGAGGACAAATAGAAACACGATTCCTTTTCTTGCATTTAGTGCATCGTGCAGTATTTTTTTTTTTTTTTTGGGCAGTTTGAAACTCTATGACAACGGTTAGTACATAGAAAGCAGCGATTTGAAGTTTTAAGTTTCTGAACACGAGTATCATAGTCTGTAACAGTTTCACGATATTGAGGCCAATGTCCTGTAGTATCACAAAATGAACAAAATGGCGAAATTTTCTTACGTTTTTTTTACTGTTTTGGAATTGATATTAAAATTTTCTACAGTGCACTTTACGGTTTGATCAGAAAAAGACGTACCTTACTGATCACTTTACGGTTTGATCAGTAAAAGACGTTCATCTCTTTGTGCTACAACTACAACTTCCACTTCTTCTGTCAAGACCTGCATCAATCTAGTAATATTACCTTCGTTTAGTTTTTCATGCTTGGCATAGATAATCCAGCGGCAACAAATATCACTAGGGAACGCACGAATAATTTTTAACACTAGGATTCTACCGTATGCTTCAATATTTTCACCCAGAGCAGTTATAGCTTGAATTCTTCTCTTACATTCTATGTGAAGATCATTTAGATGCGTAGGAGATAGGTCTTGAATAACATCTAAATGTTTTAAGTAATCTAAGAGTGATTGGATAATTCGATGTTTATTTCCGTATCTTTCCTCCAACAATTTTGTTGTTGTTTCATAGGTGTCTCCTATTACACTAATTCCATTAACAAAGCGTTTAGCTTCACTATCTAAATAAGTTCTCAGGAAAATTCTCCTGTAAATGATTGTAGTTGAATTGTTGGCAATTTAACTGTATATGATTGAGTCATAGGCGCTGTAGTAGAAGGGTCGCCATATGTCATCGCCAACTCATTGGTATCCATATTCGAAGCAGTAACATTATTTGCAGTTGGTGATAATTTGTTCTGAATAATTTTTTCTGCTTTGAAAAATTGCGGATTCACCAGTATCTATGTAGTTTTCACACTGCAAATTATCACTTTCATATTCATCATCAGAAAGAAAGTTGTGAATTTCGTTATCTATTAGTTTCATATCATTTATTGTTAAGCGATTACAAATATATTCAACTTTCTCAATTGAGAAATCATCTTTCAAAGTATCAATTTCAGTAGACATTACTTCGCACGGCTTTCCGCTTTCGTTTCAGGTGTGTCATTTTGTCTATAAGCTTCACCGGTCGGCGCCATTGCCCGAGTAGTAGAAAAGAACAAAAAACAAAACTAAGTTTTAATGTTGGAAGTAAAATAATTCAGCAAGAATAATCCAACAGTAGGATGTATAAGTTCAAGGTCCTGTTTCGTAAATGGTTTATTCGGCACCAGATATTAGGAGATAGTATTTTACACTTATTTATTTCCTAACATAAAAATAAAGTATAAAACAAGCAAAAACATTTATGAATACAAAAACGTAAGTGATGCCATTCACAAAAGGGTAATGTTATTTTTAATAGTTCACTGGCTTTGCCGCAACAACTTTTAACCCTTCTCCTGTGTAGCTCCGATGCGAATTTACTACACATACAGTTGTCACTTAGAAGATAAGTAAGTGGACTCTACATCCTTTCTTCATTTCATTTCGTCTCAATGCTCTCAAACTGCTTTTTGTAGTATTTGAGTTAAGGCAATAATTTTATCCTGCCCCCTTCGACGCCAAAAAAAAAAAAAAAAAAAAAAAAAAAAAAATTACAGTGCGGTAGTGGGGAAAATTGTAAAATTTCGCGGAGTAGTACTTACACTATCAACTTTTGCGAAACTCTCGTAGTTAAGGACACACATTCAAAGAACTAAGTATATCAGCTAGGGAAGTACTAAGGATATCAGCTGGGGAAGAATAATTAACGTAATTTGTACGTAATAAAATATTTTAAGCTTAATGTTATTACATTTTTAAGTTAAGCGTAATATTACTGTTGATTACATTTGTAAAACAATAAAATTGGTTCCAGTATTATGAAAACTGTTATGGAGATAAAGGCTTTCTTTTAAGAGGAAGACCTTTTATAACATCATAGTGTATAAACATATGCTTTTTTTCCCTAACTCATTATCTGCCTCCTCATAACGTCTTTTAAAATTTAAGAAAGAATCCTTCGACATCTACATTGTTTATGATCATTTAAAGAGATAAGAACGGTGGTTTCATATTGTTTAGGAAAATTATAATTTTTCTCATTTCAGAAGTTCTATAAATATTCGCTGGTTCCTAACTTTATCTGTAACGAGGGGTTATTTAGAATTTAATAGTTTTGCTTGTATTTTGGAGCAGGATTATTTTACGTCACAATTTTCTTAGTAATTGGCTACTTAAGGCAGTATTAAAGTTATTTAAAAGCGAAAAATAATGTAATAACGGCAATAGAAATTTGAAAACAAAAGGGAAGTATTTGAAATTTGTGAATTTATTTAACAATTATCAAAATCTTAATTTCTACCAAATCTTAATAAATTTAAAATTTAACGAAAACAACGATAAAAATTATACCGTAATAAAATTATTATCTTCTCTATAGTTATTAACATCTGAAGCCCAACAATTATAAAATGCATAAGACTAATGGACATTGGTGGTGCCTCCCAGTTCCAGGCCCGGCGACTGAGCTTCCTGACTGCTTGGAATCACCTCCCCTCAATGTCTTGCAAAGACAAATAATTTTCTTCTATGACGCATCTTACGACTGCCTCCTGTATTAATACAAACAATTTTTGAATGTTCTACCTTAATAAACAGGTACAGGATGAAGTAAGACCGGCATCTGTATATCCAGATAGGCATATTAAGCATCACCAACTTGCCCGGATGGCCTCGGATGGAGTTAATGGTACATCCTTGCGGGCTGCAAGGATCTACCACTCTTTTTCCACCGCCATCAACGTCTCGAGAGGTTTCGAGTCGCCGTGTATTCAGAGTACCTCCTTGCCTCACTGACACTATACGTTTACAAGCATCTATGCTTTCTCCAAGATTCAAATCCGGGCCCTTAGGTACGGCAGTCAAAGTCTCTAATTACTGTCCCGCCTGGACGGCTTGCTTTAATAAAATACCAAAATTGCTAGCTGTGTATAATTATTAAAGACAAGGAACATGAATCTCGGTAAATCCGCATACTTTTAATTAGCTTCCACACTGCAAATGGCATTAACATCATATTCATTGGGCAGTTTAATAAGTTCTGTTTTCTGATTCTGAGTCTTCCGCATTTGTCTGCGATACTCAGAAGTGGGAAAAATGGCTTTAAAATAACACAGTAACAAAGTATTTCAAATAAAATTTCTTTTAAAACAGATTGTAAGATCGTAAGCAACGAGACTAACAGTTTTTTTTTTTTTTTTTTTTTTGTTATTTGTTATTTTCAAAATCACATTAAAAACAAAGTCTGCTCTCAAGAAAATGCAGTAACTGCAGTCGGCTAACAGTTGGACATGACTGCTTGGCTGCCCACTTGAACAAGATTTGAATTTTCGGTTGTCTGGAGTGTCTCGTCTGCTTTCCCAGATTCATGGATGATGATCACTCCTTTTTTTGGTCTGCTGTAACAACGAGTTCTCTATTTAAAGTTTCTGAAAAGTTCATGCGACTTTCTTCATTGTGGTTTAAACTTTTCTCTAAATTTTAGTTCTCCACTGAGTTCTATGAAATGAAATAAAATGCAGCTTATGTTCATATGTTGTAATTTATTTGTAACGTATTGCCTAAGGAGAAGTTTCCAAAGGCTTTCGGGCGCTCTAAATAAAACAAATAAAATAAATAAGCAAACAAAGAGAAAGTTGGTATAAAATCTTTATCTTATTTTTTTAACAGTAAATTTTAGAACCTTTAGAATTTTTAGAAGAAAGAAAGCCAGAAAAATCATTTATATCCTCGCCGAGATATATAAGTTCTAGTCTGATGTGCTACCAGTTATATCACGAAGGCAGGCATTGAAAGAAATGCAATAATTTCTCATAAAACTACTTAGCAATAAAGAGAGTGAGCTATTTAGAAACAATTTTAATTTAGTTACAGCTAAATACTTTTCGATGCAACTAAATGCATTTCAATTTTTATTTCCTTCTTAACTACAGCAAATACTTTTCGACGGTAGTACAGTTTTGTGTTGTGTATCTTAGAGTTGGTCATAGAATTTTCTATCCATACACTATTATTTATATCCATATCTAAATGAAAAAATCGTAATTAATAATGATATTCTATGGCAATATACATTATAGTAAATTGTGAGATTTTTTCTTTCACAGACTATATTCACGCGACTGAAAGTCTTATTGGGCTTTATTTACTATCATTAGGCGAATGAATTTACCATACAGCGAATTTTCGGAAGTATTCTTTCGAAATTTAGGTGACTTTGAGGTTACGCAAGTGTAAAATTTTCCCCCAAGTATGAAATAAATCTATGGCCCTAAGTTTTTTCTCTAGTATTTCTGAATTTTCATTATAAAATATTGTTGATTTTTTATATATAATTAATTTTAATGCTATTATTACAGTTAAATATAGCTGTTCTTGATAAGCTATCGAGTTCACATTTTATACACACATTCTTTGTGGATGACTATAAGATGTAGAGAAACGATTTTTTAAAAAAAAAATTGGATTCAGATATTTTTAATTTAATGTTGAAATGATATTTCGCTTATATTTTCCTTTAATTAACAAACTAAAAGTCTCAGAAATGTATTATTTGCACCATTGGATAGAATAGAAACAAAATCTTATAAATCAAATTTTCGTGAAATATATGAATAATTTCTACTCTTTTTTGG